AGACACTATGGGAGAAGGGACACTATGGGACAAGGGGAGGGGAGGAGACACTATGGGACAAGGGGAGGGGAGGGGAGGAGACACACTATGGGACAAGGGGATTGGGGACACTATGGGACAAGGGAGGGGGGACATTATGGGACAAGGGGAGGGGGGGACACTATGGGACAAGGGGAGGGGGGACACTATGGGACAAGGGAGGGGGGACACTATGGGAGGGAAAGTGCACTATGGGACAATGGGAGGGGGGGACACTATGGGATCAGAACACTAATGGACAAGGGGAGGAGGGGTTAAAGAACACTATGGGACAGGGTAGGAGGGGTTAACAATCACTATGGGACAGGGTAGGAGGGGTTAACAATCACTATGGGACAGAGGAAAGGGGGGTTAAAGATCATTATGGGACAGGGGAGAAAAAAAAATATTCTGAACAAACTGTCCCATGGTAAGAAACACTATGGAACAGTTTGTTCAGAATATTTTTTTTTCTGGGTTTCCTCCTCTAAAAACTAGGTGCGTCTTATGGTGAGGTGCGTCTTATGGAGCGAAAAATACGGTAATTATTTCAGATGACTTAAAGGTAGGCAGACAATGTAATAGAGCAGCAGGAAATGCTTGCAGAATGCTCGGTTGTATAGGGAGAGGTATTAGCAGTAGAAAGAGAGAAGTGCTCATGCCATTGTACAGAACACTGGTGAGACCTCACTTGGAGTATTGTACACAGTACTGGAGACCGTATCTTCAGAAGGATATTGATACTTTTGAGAGAGTTCAGAGAAGGGCTACTAAACTGGTTCATGGATTGCAGGATAAAACTTACCAGGAAAGGTTAAAGGAACTTAACATGTATAGCTTGGAGGAAAGACGAGACAGGGGGGATATGATAGAAACATTTAAATACATTAAGGGAATTAACAAAGTAAAGGAGGAGACTATATTTAAAACTAGGCGAACTACCACAACAAGAGGACATAGTCTTAAATTAGAGGGGCAAAGGTTTAAAAATAATTTCAGGAAGTATTAGTTTACTGAGTGGGTAGTGGATGCATGGAATAGCCTTCCAGCTGAAGTGGTAGAGGTTAACACAGTGAGGGAGTTTAAGCATGTGTGGGATAGGCATAAAGCTATCCTAGACTTAAGATAAGGCTAGGGACTAATTAAAAGTATTTTGAAATATTAGGCAGACTAGATGGGCCGAATGGTTCTTATCTGCCGTCACATTCAATGTTTCTATGTTTATCTTGGTCTCATCGGACCACAGGACATGGTTCCAGTAATTCATGTCCTTAATGTGCTTGTCTTCAGCAAACGGTTTGCGGGCTTTCTTGTGCATCATTTTTAGAAGAGGCTTCCTTCTGGGACGACAGCCATGCAGACCAATTTGATGCAGTGTGTCACGTATGGTCTCAGCACTGACAGGCTTACCCCCCACCCCTTCAACCTCTGCAGCAATGCTGGCAGCACTCATACGTCTATTTCCCAAAGACAACCTCTGGATATAACGCTGAGCATGTGCACTCAACTTTTTTGGTCGACCATGGCGAGGCCTGTTCTCAGTGGAACCTGTCCTGTGAAACCGCTGTATGGTCCTGCCCACCATGCTGCAGCCCAGTTTCAGGGTCTTGGCGATCTTCTTATAGCCAAGGCCATCTTTATGTAGAGCAATAATAATTTTTTTCTTCCAGTGGTCAGTATGAGAGAGATAACACCAAATTTAACACACCTGCTCCCCATTCACACCTGAGACCTTGTAACACCTTGTAACACTAATGAGCCACATGACACCGAGGAGGTAAAATGGCTAATTGCACCTAATTGGGCCCAATTTGGACATTTCCACTTAGGGGTGTACTCACTTTTGTTGCCAACAGTTTAGACATTAATGGCTGTGTGCTGAGTTATTTTAAGGGGATAGCAAATTTACACTGTTATATAGGCTGTACACTTACTACTTTACATTGTAGCAGAGTGCCATTTCTTCAGTGTTGTCACATGAAAAGATATAATAAAATATTTACAAAAATGTGAGGGGTGTACTCACTTTTGTGATACTGTATTTATTTATATACACATATAAATATAAACACACACACAGTATATATATACATACTGTGATAAAGTGAAGGCAGATAGGCCTTTTAACCCCAGGGGAAGTACGTGTAGTTTCTGTGTTGCACAACACAAAGCTTTGCTTAGTTATGGGCCCCTGGGGTGGAGCATTTGGAGAGAAGGGTGGGCCAATGCTCCACTCCACAGTTTAGTGGTTTTCTGGGGAGACATAGATCCAGGCCAGGGTTTTTTGGATCGTCTCCAACCCACTGCTCAGCTGCAGTTAATGAGCTATTGCAGTGGGAATAAACTCCTCCCTGCTAGGCAGGTAAAGGAGAGGGATTGCTGGCTTCCTCCCAGGAAGCAGGTAGGAGAGAGGCTGATCTCTCCAGATAGAGTCAAAGAGACTAGGCACTGGGAGTGCAGAAGGAAGCAGTCAAGGCTGGCTTGGAGGCACTGGGAGTGCGGAAAGGAAAGCAGTCAGGGCAAGGCTGGCTTGGAGCACTGGGAGTGCAGAAAGGAAAGCAGTCAGGGCAAGGCTGGCTTGGAGCACTGGGAGTGCAGAAAGGAAAGCAACAGGCTAGCTAGCAGAGTGTTGCTCTCTAATAAGGTTGGTGCAATATTGTTTTGTTTAGTTTAACCCTGAGAGATAGGGAACCTAAAGTGAGTTAGTGCTCAGACCGAGCTAGGTTTTTGTTTATAGGGTTTTCTGTTACATTTATGTTTTCATTTTACTGCTGTATCCTGTGTGAACTTACAAATAAAGTGCCTGGAGTATATGAATTACAAGGACTGTGCATGTTTTTGCCCTAGAGGACCGTGCTACCTGCAAACAAGGATCACAATACATACATACATACATACACATACACACAATGTAGTGTAGATAGCACTCCAGGGACTTCCAATGGATAAAATAAAATTTAACTTTTATTGCTCAAATACAAAAAAGATCGATGTTTCAGTTTGTCATTCAAACTTTCATCCTGATAGTAGCACGTGGCGTCGAGTGTGGAGCTGTTGGAGCGGCTTTTGCATCGAGTTCTGGAGCCATTCTGGAAATTGTTTGCAGTTGTTTTGGGACTTTTTGGTGCATTTCTCAAGCTGTGGAAAGTCAGGGAGCTGAGCTCTGTCGTTTGCATGCCTTTTACTGTGTGTTCTGCATTGTGGGTTGGTTTCCATGCCAGCTCATTTTGACTTTTTTCTGACCTCCAGAACGGATTAATTTGTTTTTAATGCATTCCTATAGGAAACCGCGTTTGGGTTTACAAATTTTTCGCAATAAGAAATGTCCCAAAGAACGCATTAAACTCGTAAACCGAGGTCCCAAAATATACACAAAATAGAGATATACATACACACACATATACACACACACACACACACATACACACATACACACATACACACACAATGATGGGGAAAAGTATTTGATCCCCTGCTGATTTTGAACGTTTGCCCACTGACAAAGAAATGATCAGTCTATAATTTTAACGGTAGGTGTATTTTAACAGTGAGAGACAGAATAACAAAAAAAAATTTTTTTTAAAAATCCAGAAAAACGCATGTCAAAAATTTTTGCATGTCAATAAGTGAAAAAGTTATAAATTGATTTCCCCTGTCCCTTTCCTCAGCCCCTGTCCCCTTTCCTCAGCCCCAGCCCCCGTCTTAGCTCCTGTCCCCCCACCACAGCCCCCATAACATCCCCACTACAGCTCCTCTCTCCCAATTGCAACCCATATCACACACACCACAGCCCCTTTCCCAAATTGTAGCCATCATCCTACTTTAGCCCCTATTCCCCCGTACATTTCCTAACCTCCCAATTACACCTCATACCTTCCACTAAAGCCCCTGTCCCCCCACTACAACCCATAGCCCCCCTACTACAGCCCTGTCCCCTTACTTAGGCCCTGTCTACTGGCTTTAACAGTGTAAAGTTTGTGTGTGTGTATATATATATATGAGTATGTCTGTGTGTGTCAATATGTCTGTCTGTGTGTAAGTATGTCTGTCTGTCTGTGTGTAAGTATGTCTGTCTGTCTGTGTGTAAGTATGTCTCTGTGTGCATGCCAGTATGTGTGTCAGCCAGTATGCCTATGTGTGTGTCAGTATGTCTGTCTGTGTAAGTCAGTATGCCTTTAACAGTGTGTCGGTATGTGTGAGTGTGTGCGTGTGCCTGTCAGTGAGTGTGTGTTTGTTTGTGTCAAATCAGCAAGTGCGTGTGTCTGTCAGTTAGTCTGTCTGTTTAGGTGACTGCCCCCTCCCTTTCAATCAAATTGGAAAGGTGTTTTTACTCTCCTCTTGGTGCAATGGGCCACTTGACTGGATTTGCCCCCGGGCCTAAGCCTGCTAAGCCTCCCCTGAGCTGCAATGTCTCCACTCCCCCTTCCAGCCATAATGGCCTGTGTGACTGTCTGCCTGCCTGTGTGTGACTGTCTGCCTGCCTGTGTGTGACTGTCTGCCTGCCTGTGTGTGTGTGTGTGACTGACTGAAGTGCTGAACCGAAACAAATTGCCTAAGTCCTGAATTGCCGACGTTCCGATGTGGTTAGGGGTAGTGTTTGGGGTAAGGTTAGGTGTTAGGGTAATGATTAGGATCCGAATTACCGAATTTCGGAAGTGCTGAACCGAACGGAATGCCATTGGTTCAAATTGCCGAAGCAGACTTTTTTTTTACCCGAATTTTCGAACCGAACCAAATTTTTTGTCCATGCACATCCCTAGTCTGCACCCAGTGAAGGAGCAGACCAGATTCCCAGCACACTGGAACACCAGAGATCTGTATTCCCATCTCACTGCAAGGTAACAACAGGGAAAGGGGAATTAATATTTGTTTTTAAATCATTAATTTAATATATCCCCTATACAAACCTACACCCCTATACACACATACATGGATGAACGTGTATGACCGGGTAGGATGGGGGGCGTCGTGAAGACTTTTCGCACAGAGCGCCTAATGGCCTAAGACCGGCCCTGCACACACTCACTGACTGATAGACACACACTCACTGACAGACAGTGCTCCTCACTGCTCCCTCAAGCTTGTAGTTTAGTGATGCCAGGCCAGAATGAGGTCATATTCCGGCACCCAGCATCACTACAGAGGGTGCGTGCGAGGGAGCAGGAAGAACAGACTGAGCTCCCTCACTGCACCAGTGACCACTCCTCCCGGCCGATTACCTGCAATGTGGGGAAAGCAGGTGCCTACTCTGCCTTAATATGTCAAACATGCGGCTCGCTGGGCTGCAAAGATATTATTTGTAGGGTGCCAGTTTGACATGCTTAATGTAATGTGTTGTTGATCATCTGGGGTTGTATTTACCTAATTTTAAGACCTGCTAAGTAACAGATGATTTTTTTTATGTTATGGAAAACCATAGAATTCAAAGAGGGTGTACTTTCCCCCCTCCCCCCACCCCCGAAAAAAATAATAAATATATATACACACACACACACACACACACACACACACACACACACACACACACACACACACACATATATACATACACACACATATACATACACACACATATATATACACACATACACACACACACACACACACACACACACATATACATATATACACACACACATATACACACACACATATACATATATACACACACACATATACACACACACATATATATATATATATATATATATATATACACACACCATATATTTAGTTGATCATATGGATGGATCAAAATGACTTTTGTGGATTGATTCAAACCAGTTATCTCCGAATGACAAGTCATCTTAAATGCTTGAATCATGATACAATTTTGTCGTTTGCCTTATATCTCAATATGTTTGTAGTGTGCCCTAAAAATGCCAGTTAAACTACAGAATGATATACATCCCCTAAATGATGGACATTGCCTTGTCTGTATATAACAATATGACTGACCTATGCATCCAACACAGAACCCACAGCACCTGCAGCCGACACAGAGGAACCCACAATCATCCCTTTCCTGGTATATACTCTACCTGGCATCAGTTGGATCTGTACTTTGAAATAGTGCAAGGCAAATAGTACAGCTCCTTCATATTTCTAAAACAGACTCTAATTTCATAACCCTAAATTAGGAGGGCAGCCAGTATAATGCCATGTGTCTCCACCTGTTTACAATGCTTATTTATTAAGCCTCTAATGTATGAATGATTAAAGATATTAAAAGGAAAAACACTATTAACAGGTACTGCGAAAGCAACAAGGCTACTGCATTTAGGCAAAAAAATTAAATAAAATAAAGTTAAAAAAAAGCTCAACATTTACTTTCTTGATCTCTAAGGATCTTAACGTCTAATAAGCTTTCTGAAATGGTTACCATATTTGTTGTACTCTGTCTTGTTCATAGTATGTTTTCAATGTTCTCTCAGCTATTTCCATTTGGGAGAATTCTCAGACTGGTGACATTCCTATGACGATAAGTCTTATATTACATAGCTGAGATCTAACTCATCCTACTAGTGGGGGCTCATGTGACGGGTCAAGGGTTTATAGTAAAAAAGGTTTGCTCGGCACCCCTGCTCCATCCCATTATTGGACTGTCGGCATATATACAGAGTGAATAGGTCAGGGGGTCCAAAAACACTATATTATTTTTATTATAATACATGTGTTTTGGGGTGGAGAAAAAAAGAGTGACAAAATAGCAAAGACGACAAACAACTGTGTATTTATAGTTTAACTCTTGTGACATCTAGTGGGCAAATGAAAAAATTACAATGTGAAAAAAATATATATTTTTTAAGCTAATTAAACTTTGAAGATGCAACCATATATAAAATGTTAAGTGCCCAAACCCCTGCTCAGCAGATCATAAGGCACTTGAACGCTAAAATATACTTTTTTATTGCAAAGCAGGTATACAGATTTTATATCTGCTACTGTAGATACCATCATTCAATTAGACTTTTCAAGCTGGAATTGATTATTTTTATTTTCAATGCA